TCCTAGTCAATGCGTCTTGTGGACAGCCACCACCTGTTTGTTTGCATGTTGCTATGATGTTGAACAGCTTTCAACAGAGCTTCCAGACTTAGACGAACTAGGAAAAAAAGTCAGATGATCTACTTCTGAAAATCAACCAATGAAAATGCTACAGGTCACAGCACAGAACCAGGCAGCGTTTTGTTCCATTGTGCATGTGGTCACAATGAGTCGGGGAGCCACGTCAACAACAGTGAACCACGTTCCTACAGTCGGAGATTTGACAGGTGCATACCTGAAAAGAAGGGCCTGAAAAGAATCTGCATTTATAGCAAACCCCACTCTCTACCCAGATGATTCGAATCAACTGGTCCAGTGAACCACCTTTAGAAGAACACCTGCCTACAGTTTTTGTAAAGAAATGCCTGCTAATCATCTCCTAAAGAGAAAAGTTTCAGACTTCCTAGGTAGATGAGGGACCTTCAAACAGTTCATGGCAAAATTTCATTCTCATTTAGTACCCTATTTCCATAAACATTTTTTTTTCTTAAACTTTTTATTGTGAATTGAGTGATCATTTACAGAGGAGATCATCGGTTTTATGTTCAACAAATCATGGACGTCACTTCATTACAATGATTGTAATCCCCTCCATGCACCTGCAGTTCACAGTATTTACGTCTGTTCACTTGAACAATGCATTCCTGTCTCCTAGTACCATTATCTTTTCTCTGTTAACCTCCCTCTCATATTATTAGCACCTGCCCTGTCACCCATGCTAACATCCACATGCTTTTTGAAGTTCCCTTGTAAAGCCACATTCTTAGAAGCTAGGATGAGAGGTAGCTCCCCAATTCCTCTGGGGAAAACGTAGTTATTTTTGTAAGAGGTGAGTCTGTCCCCATTTTCTGCTACATGTTATAAGGTATGGGCTGAGGAGGAAGGACACTCAGAGCCCACCCACTGCCATCCAGCTGGTTCTGACTCATGGCAACCCTATAGGATAAAGGAGAACTGCTCCTTAGAGTTTCTGGGGCTGTAAATTCTTATAGAAGCAGACTGCCACATCTTTCTCCCATGGAACAGCTGGTGGGTTTGAACCACCACCCTTGAGGTCAGCAGCATAGTACTTAACCCACTGTGCCACCAGGCACCCAGAGGACAGATGAACTAAGTCTGCGAGATGGGACGGGGGTGGGGCATGTCTTTCAGGGCAGGAAAAGCAGGGACAAGGTGTGGAAGGAAAGGCATGGGAGGAATGGGGTGTGGTCTGGTGGGGCTAGACAGAGGAATGCAAGCTAGAGAGGGAGGCTGGCTGCTTTCCAAGAGGAAGCTACTCAGTGGAATACTAGTATGGGAGACAGGGATCCAGGATCATTGCCTGGGAGGCTAGTTCCCTCCTAACTGGGCAGCTCTGTAGGTGGCATTCACCTGTGTCAGGATGGCGGTGGCTCTGTGAACTTATGAACCAGCCCAGAAGGCAAGCTGGGGGTGACCCAGAGGACACCTTGCCTTCCCAACCCTGGGGAGGGACACAGGGGCTAAGAGAGTGAATTAGTGGGAGACCTCCCTAGTCTTATCTGAACGGATCCTAGTTTCCAGTCACCTTCTCAGCCCAAGAAGGGCTTCGTACAAAAAGGAAGCTATTTGATAGTCAGCAGACACTGAAAAAGGAAGTGTGCTGGCTCAACAGCTAAGCACTCAGCTGCTAACCACATGGTTGGTGGTTCAAACCCAACAGCTGCATGCGAGCAAGAGAAGGTGATCCTCTCCCAGAAAGCCTACAGCCTGGGAAACCCTATGGGGCAGTTCTACCCTGTCCTGTAGAGTTCCTAGGAGTTTGAATTGTCTCAAGGGTACCCAGCAATGATCTGTGAATGTGCTCAGCATTGTGAATTCAAGTGCTTCCGTTGGTTTGAGATGAGCTTCCAAGTTGTTGTTGCTGTGAAGTCTAGTCTGACCCAATGTTAGAGCGTTTTCTTGACTGTCATCATAACACAAGTGCTGACCTAGTCCCAGTCTGATTAAGCCCCCTCTTTCTGTCCCTGGGTGGTTGTGCTCAGCTACTAGCATAAAGATTGGCAGTTCAAACCTACCCAGCAGCACTGAGGAAGAAGGTCCTGGTAACCCGCTTCCATTATGCTGACAGTCAAGAAAACTCTAACCTTGGGTCACCAAGGGTCAGAATGGACTTGACAGCAGCAACAACAGCAGACTCTGGAATGCTTCCTGGGTTTGAAGCCTGGCTCTACGCCTGTAGAGAAAACAGGGATCACAGCCTCTGGGAGAGCTTGCTGGGAAGACAAAGAAGGAGCCAGATAGAGCCCTGTCTACAGAGGGACCGACCACTCAGCACTCTCAACTCCTTACTACCTATAAGTTATCATCTTTTAAAGGCCTCTTGTGGAACTATCCTAGTAGCTCTATAGTGAGACGTCAGAGGGTCTTTGAGGATAGATTCTGTGATTAGAAGTCTGTTTTTTTAAGAACTGGGGTTTTTTGTTTTCTATGAGTACTGATTTTACGTGATACGGGGAAGGCTATGGCAAAAGTCTGTGGCACAGGGAGCTTTGGACAAAGGATTTTTCTGTGGAGGGTAGGACAGAAGGGAAGGCAGGCTCTTCTGCTAGAGGAGGAATATGTGAGTCTCATTACCTGAACCAGCTGGGTGACCTTAAGCAAGTCACTTAACCTCTCTGTGCCTCAGTTTCCTCATCTAGAAAAAGGAGCTTAACTTCAGGGGGTTGTTGTGAATAGTAAATACATGTAGCCTTGGTTATTATCTAGAACGTCCTATCATTACTTGTTTTGTGAAAGGCTGATTTAAATTTGGAGGGCTCTCGGCCCTGCCTGATCCATGCAAACTCATTATCTGACCACTGCAAGATTTCTGTTTCCTACCTGCAGGTCCAGATCCTTATCTTAAAAACTCAGAATCTCAAATCCATCTCAGCTCAGTCCTAAAAGTATTCTGATTGTATTACTGTTTTTATCTTTCCCACAGTAGCACTCTAAACTTCTGTCGCTTGCCATGAATGTAATTCTCTACTTGTTTTGGGGCATTGTAATGTACAGCTCTCTGACTAAATGTCCCGGTGTCCCAGCATTTCATGTAATGCTTGGTGCCGAGTAGGTACCAAAGGATTGTGCAATGCTCTAGTAATGGTAAAACTCCCATTCAGGTCTAGCCCAACCCAGAAAAATCCCTGCTTGCTTAGAATCAACTTCCCAGTGGGATCTAAATTCATTCACTTGTCATAGGAAGCACTTCACTAACTGCCCTGCCCCAAGAGACCTCTTATAAAGGAACCATGGTGGCACAGTGGTTAAGTGCCTGAAAGAATCAAGTGGATGACAGAAAAGCAGGGTAACCCCTACTGAGCCTTAAACCCCACTGCCAGTTGAAACTCTTAACAACCCTAATGAGGGTTTCCAAGACTGTCTATCTCTATGGGAGTAGACAGCCCCATTTTTCTCCTGTGGAGCAGATGAAGGGTTTGAACCATCAACCTTATGTTTAGCCGACCAATGCTTCACCTACAGTACCACCAAGGTTCCTTCAAAACCCTGCTCAAATGATTTCTCCGTATGTATGTCTCCCCCAGACTCTCCAAGGCAAAATCAGTGGCTTCATTCTCTGAGCTACCTCAATAGCCTGTAGAGCACACTAGTTTTGGGGGGTGACAAGTTGTTGTTGTTAAGTGCCATCGGTTCCAACCCATAGCGACCCTGAATAGGGTTTCTGAGGAGTGGCTGGTAAGCTTGAACCACCAACTTTGCAGTTCAATGGACTTTGCAGTCCAACACCACACCAGGACTCCCTGGGGGTGACAAGGGCTGAGCTAAATTCCCAGCTTTGCAAATAATAAATGGAGACTTTGAGAAAGTTCGATGACCTCTCTGAACTTCAGTCTCCTCATCTGCTAACAAGCAGTAGCAGAAACCCCTAATGACTGATGGGAATAATTTAATTAGATCATTGGTAAATCTATAGCATGTGCTCCGAATCATGGCAGTCTGATGCCTTCTGTGGTGGTGCCTGACTACATTGTGACTCCTCTGTTTACACATCTACCTCCCTTACAAAACTATAGATGAAGTCAACAGGGTCTTCAGTTTTGTTGTTGTTAGTGTTGTTGTGGTTTTAACCCCGGAGACTGGCTTCTAAACCAACAACCAGATACCAATGACTTGGCTCTGACTCATGGCGGCCCCATCTGTATGAGACTAGAAGTGTGCTCTGAAGGTTTTTCAGTGGTTGACTTTTGGGACATAAATAACCCGACCTTTTTTCCAAGGCACCTCTAGGTGCATTTGAGCCTGCAACATTTGGGGTACCAGCTAAGCCTTTTAACCATTTGTTAGTTGCTTAAGTCGGCCCCTCCTCATAGCAGCCCATGTGTGTAGAGTAGAAGTAATCCACAGGGTCTTCTTGGCTGTAATCTTATGGAATCCGTTCACAAGGTTTTTCTTCCATGGAGCCACTGGTTTAGGTTAGTAGCTGATCACAAACCATTTGTACCTTCTAGGCTCCTAACTGTTATATAAAACCAAAATACCAAGCTCACTGCCACTGAGTCAATTATGGCTCACAGCGACCTTATACAGGGTTTCCGAGACTGTTCATCTTTACGGGAGCAGACAGCCTCATCTTTCTACCAAGGAGCCACTGGTGGGTTTGAACTGTCAATCTTATGGTAAGCAGCCCAAAGCCTGGCCCACAGCAGCACAAGGGCTCCTTCAATGACAAATTTATTAAGTGATGTCAAGTAGATGCCAACTCAGAGCAGCCCTGCATAGGGTTCCCCAGGTGTAAATCTTTGCTGGAGCAGAAAGTCTCATCTTTTTCCTGAGAAGCAGCTGGTGAGTTCAAAAGGTCAACCTTGTGGTTGATAGTTCAGTGATTATCCTACAGAGCCACTGAACTTCCTTAACTGGCATATGAAAGATGCTTAATCCACCCTTGCAAAATGTTTGCATGCAGTCATAAATGAATAAATCTGAACTCTCTAATTCCCTAGAGTGCCCTGGAGGAGCTGTGTCCCCCTGCAATGGCAGAGGCAGTTGTGCTGAAGGCATAGAAGGAAATGGAACCTGTTCCTGCCGAGTAAGTTCAGAACCGAGTTCTCCCTCTCTGACTCTGCTACCTCCCTTCTTACCTGCAGATACTGTTTAAACACACACACACACACACACACACACACACACACACACACGGTGGAGGCTGTAAGAGGCAACAGTGGCAGTGAAAAGGGTATGCCATCTACAACACAATGACTGCTTAGTGGCTGGAAACCTTTGGGTGAGTCAATTAAGTGCTCAGCCTTAAGTGTATCCATCTGTAAAATGGGTTCAATAATGCTTAAGCAGTAACATTTGTTGAAAAATTGAAATGAGATCACTCTCGTATAGAAAACACAGCACTCTTGGCACCAGGGTGAACCGCTAGGTCTGCGAGCTGAAGAAGTTGTTTATTATCTCATGAAGAGGACCTTTTTGTATTCCTATCCTTGGATAATTTAAATACAAAGAAAGCCTGAAAGAAATACAAAATGAGATGGTAGCATATCCTATCCATGGTTACCGCTCTATCTTTGAGCTGAAAAAGCAGCTTTCTTCCAGAGTTCCAGACCCTCAGTGAGAAAGGGTCTAGGATTAAGTATTCTCAGAACAGCACAAACGCAATGAAGAATAAATGAAGAAACAGAAAGGAGAAGCTTCAGGAAAGGCTCAGGGAAGATATAGTTGAGAAACAAAAGTGGAGCAGATAACCAGTTGGAAATCCAAGGGCTTGCTGGGTCCCATCAATCCATCCCCTTTGACCCGTGCCATGTGCCTGGGGTGTTTTGCAGGAAGGATTCGGAGGAACAGCCTGTGAAGCCTGTGCGACTGACAACTTATTTGGACCCAGCTGTTCAGCAGGTAGGTCTGATTTTTGTGTTAGTACATCGATACATTGGACTTCCGGTGTTGCCACATTTTTCCCTGGTCCCTCTCACTACCAGGGGTTTAAAGGATTAGTTCCTCCTAGTCGCCACTTTTCAGTCACACCTGAACAACATGCATTCACTTAGAAGCTCTTTATTGCAAAGCAAAAGTACACTTCAAAGAGAGAAGTGGGCTGTCTCCATGAGGGGAGGACACCTGGTAGAATTAAGGAGCATAGATTACACTGGGTCAAAGCGAAAGTACACTTCAAAGAGAAGTGGATCTGTCTTCGTGAATGGACAAGGTACTTTGGGGTTGGGGTGCACTAGCTTCTAAAGGTATGATGTCTCTTCCTGTAAGAGTGGGCCATTACATATTGATTACAAGGAGTGGCATGTTGAATATTCACCGTTTTTTAGTAAAGGAACACAGGCTTCTTGGACATGGAGTACCTTCTGCTGTTGTCAGTTCTAGGCCTTATCTTCATGGGTTGTCTGCCTGCAGTCAGCTGTTTCTATAAAGGTTTCAGGTCCTGATACCTTTACCTTTGTCTCCAGACTGTTCCTTCTCAGTGTTGTTATTCTCGTTGGCCTAGAGATGTCCTTTCCCCGTTTCTTGATCCCTGTTTAGTAGGAGAGAATTCAGGAGAAAGGGGTAGATATGAAGCCAGTGCAAGAGAGGCCCAGGGCCCAGGGTCCTAAGCTGTCTCTGGCACTGTGGGATCAGTACTGGACTGTGAACCAAAGTGTCTGCAGCTCAAACCCACCAGCTGCTCCTCAGAAACCCTATACAGGGTTTCTATCAGTCGGAACAACTCGATGTCACTTAACAACATTGATAAGGACTTAAAGTCAAACATGGTCTGTACCCCTGAAGAGCCTCAGAAATCTGTCCTTGAGAAAAGATACTGACTAGTTATGCCCTGTCCCCCCACTGCCGTGCAGTGGATTACAACTCCTAGACATGCTGTAGGACCTAGAACTGCTCCGTAGGACTTCCAGGATGTAATCTGTATGGAAGCAGACTGTCCATCTTTCACCCTCAGAGTGTCTGGTAGGTTAAAACTGCATCCTTTCAGTTAGCAGATGAGCACTGCACCACTGGGCCGCATTGCTAGCACAAAAATGTGCCAAGGAGATTCCAACTCATAGTGACCCTACAGGTAAGCACAGAACTGCTCCATGGGGGTTGTACATCATAAGGGAGCAGCAGATAGGTCTGAAACACTGACCTCTTGGTTAGCAGCCAAGCTCTTCAACTGCTGAGCCACCAGGGCACCTACCCAAGTCCACACAGGGAAATCTGCTGCCCTGCAGTCCCTGAGAAGAGAGGCTGTGTTTTCTGTGTTCTGTGGGTCCCTAGTCATCAGCACATGCTTGGCATGTGGTTACTGCTATCATTGCTGTTAAGTGCCATCAAGTCAGTTCCAACTCATAGTGAGCCATAGGGTTTCCTAGGAGCGGCTGGTGAGTTTGAACCACTGACCTTGTGGTTCAAACTGACCTTGAGGTCTAGTGCTTATCCTATGACATCACTCTGTACAGGGCTTCCGAGGAGCAGCTGGTGAATTTGAACTGCTGATCTTGCGGTCCAGCACATGAACCCATAATGCCACACCAGGACTCTTACGGTTGCTGTTGTTGTTGTTGTTATGTGCCGTGGAGTCGGTTCCGACTCATAGCGACCCTGTACAAGGTTTCTGAGACTGTAAATCTTTACGGGAGCAGAAAGCCTCATCGTTCTCCTGCGGAACAGCTGGTAGTTTCGAACTGCTGACCTTGCAGTTTGCAGCCCAATTCGTAACCACTACGCTACCAGAGCTCCACTGTGGTTGCTGTTAGATGCCTTCAAATCAGTTCCAACGCATATATCCCAGAGTAGAACTGCTCCCTGGAGTTTGCTTGGCTGTCAATCTTAATGAAAGCAGGTTGCCAGGTCTTTCTTCTTCTGTACCACTGGGGAGGTTGAACCCACCAACCTTTAAGTTGCCAATCGAGCACAAAACATTCTGGAATACTTGGGAACAGAAGAATTCCTCTCCTCAGGATCTAGAACCCAAGTAGCTTCCTGTTCCTCATACAGATTCTCCCTGAGGTCCTTATGAGCCCTGGGCTAAGGATAAATCTGCCAGTGGCCTTTACTTCTCCATGGGTCACTCTGTATTCTAAGTTTTTCCTTCCTTTTTGGGGAGTCACAGATAAACATTTGTCAGGGTCAAGTGGCTTGCCCATTCTCTTAGTTTGTATTTCCCCCAGTTGTTAACCTGAGATAAGGCTCTGAATACCAACAGCTGATTGGAGAAGTGATCCCAGGAAACACTAAGGAGGCAAGAAAGTAGCACAGAAAATATGGAGTCCATTATCAACCCAGTACCACTGGGCAGTTGGCAACTCTGGGAGTCAGTGAAGAACACATATCTTGGAGTTAGCTCACCCCAGAGGACAGGAAGGCATGGTATGGTAGGCTGAACAATGGCCCCCTGCTATTGTGTGACTTTGAGTGGGTTCCAACTCAGAGCAACCCCATATAGGGTTTCTGAGAGCGGCTGGTGGTTTGAACTGAGGACTTTGTGGTTGCCAGTCAGTGCTTATCCTACAGCACTACACCAGGGCTCTGTGGTGCTATAAAGGTATCCAGAAAGGAATCCTGGTAGTGCAATCGTTGATGGTTCAAACCTACGAGCAGCACGGCAGGAGAAAGATAGGGCAGCCTGCTCTTGTCAATATCACAGCCTAGAAAACCCAATGGAGCACTTCCACTCTGTCACATGGGGCCACTATGAGTCAAAAATGAACTCAACACCTAACAACAGTATCCCCCAATATGAGGTTAATGTTGTTGTTGTTGTTAGGTGCCATCTAGTCGGTACCAACCCATAGCGACCTTATGCTCAGCAGAAGGAAACACTGCCCAATCCTGGGCCAGCCTCACTACTGTTGCCATGCTTGAGTCCATGATTTATTAAGGAATTTAACAGATTACGATTCAGGATGAGAAATAGTCAGGACACAATTCTTTGGTCAGGACAGCATTTCTCAGCCTTCAAGCCAGTCTCTCTCAACTACACATCTCTTGGCCTCTGCCTTGCTCAGTCAATTTTGCAAGTCTCTTTTGTTGTTGTTGTTAGGTGCCATCGAGTCAGTACCGACTCATAGTGACCTTATGCACTGCAGAACGAAACGCTGCCCAATCCTGGGCCAACCTCACTACTGTTGCCACACTTGAGTCCATCCATGCTGCCTCTTGGCCAGTCCATCTCGTTGGGGGTCTTCCTCTCTTTCTCTGACCCTCCATCTTACCAAACATGATATCCTTCTGCAGTGACTGCCCCCTCCTGACAATATGTCCAAAGTATGAGACAGGAAGTTTGGCCATCTTGGCCTCCAAGGAGCACTCTGGCTGCACTTCTTCCAGAACAGATCTATTGGTTCTTTTGGCAGCCCATGGTACTTTCAATATTCTGTCTCTTTTAGCTTTGCTGATAAATGCCCTAGGGACATGTCACCCCACCACCGGCCTCAGTCAGAAGGCACTTAGCTCTAGCTACCTTAGTCTGTAAACCTACTCCCCCACCTAAGTGCCTGGAGGCAACCCAAAGGCAGCCAGCTTTACTTACTCTCTGGGCAGGGAAGCCCACCGTTCTGTCTCATGCTCTTGGTTCTATTGCTTCCCCACCTCTCTCTGGGGTCATGGCTTTCTGTCTTCTGGGATCTAGGATTCAGTGCACAGGGATCTAGGTGTTCAAAGGATGTGCTCCACTCCTGGCTCTTCTTTCTTGATGGTCATGAGGTCCCATCCCTGCTTCTGAGATGTCTCATTTTAAACCCAGTGGGATGGCAAAACTGACTAATCAATACATTGGAGTCCCAAGTTTTAATCATTACAGTTAACCCAGTTAACAACCACTCATAACTGGATCATAACCTATCAGAATCTTTCTCCACCTTCTCTTACCCAGGCCCATCAGGAAAAGAGGAAATGTGCCCAGTCTGCGTGGTGGGAATTACAAAGACTGACTAGAAAGGCCATATGAAATCATGCACAGCCCCAGGTGTTCCTGGGCTCCTGGGGAGACATCCTCAAAGGGCATCTGTCTTCTCCCATGTGTGTGTCTGTGGTCTAGTCTGCTCTTTTTATAACTCAGGAGTGATTCTGCTTAGGACCCACCCTACACTGGCCTGACCTCATTAACATAACAAAGAAAACCTCATTTCCAAACATGATTACATCCATAGCTATGTTGTTGTTGTGGAGTGCCATGGAGTCGATTCCAAATCATAGTCACCCTGTATAAAGTTTCCGAGAAGCAGCTGGTGAGTTTGAACCGCTGACCTTGCAGTTTAAATGGCATTGCAGTCTGGCACATTAACCTACAGTGCCACACCAGGAACTCCACAGCTATAGGGGTTAAGATTCCAACACATGTTTCAGGAGGACACAATTTATTCCATAACCCATTGTATCAGGTCAACTTCAAATCACGGTGACCCATAATTATCAGAGTAGAACTGTGCTCTACAGGATTTGCAATGGCTGATTTTCCTGAAGTATATCACCAGGCTTTTCTTCCAAGGTACCCCTGAGTAAACTTGGATCACCAGTCTTTTGATAGCAACCAAGTGCTTCAAGTCAATTTTTGAAGAGATGGTGACAGTTACAAATTCAATTTAATACTTCAATTATTTGACTCAGTAATTGAACTAGTTCTCTTTCCTTTTTCCTTTGTAATATGGGGATCATGCTACCTACTCCATAGGGTTCTGTGAGGATTAAATTAAATGAGATAATGCACATACAGCCCTTGACAACATGTTTCATAGATCATAAGTTTAATAAAGAGAATTACTGGGCCAAGGTAAGATGAGTGAGGTTCTCGCTTCACAATCAAAATGTAAAGTTGTTGGAGTTGGTTCTGACTCACTGTGACCCTGTACAGGTTTTCTGAGGCTGTGAATCTCTATGGGAGCAGAAAGTCTCATCTTTCTCCCACAGAACAGCTGGTAGTTTCGAACTGCTGACTGTGAGATTAGCAGCCCAAAAAGGGCACCCAAAAAACAAAACAACAATCCTACAAATCAAGATAAAGATTTTAGTGCAATAATCCATGATGAGCAAGATCTTTTCATTAATGCAGTACTTAGCTCTGCCTTAAATGCCCGCCTACTTGCTACGTCATAATCCTGGTCCTCCTGGATAGGGTCTTAATTTGAAATGCAGTATCGTCTTGATTTTCACTGTAAATCACTGTAAAAGATGTTATAGAGAAATATAAGAGGACAAGTCTTTCAAGGGATTCCAACAAGCACCAGTTGCCCTCGCACTGACTCCCACTCCTGAGGGGCTCCAGATGCATCCAAGTAAAACTGTACTCAATAGGGGTTTCTATGGCTGGTGTTTCGGAAGTAAATTGCCAGGTTATTCTTCCCTGGTGCCTCTGGTTCAACTTGAACTTCCAACCTTGTGGTTATCAGTTGAGTGTATCCGCCATTTGTATCACCCAGGAACTCCAAAAGGGAACAAAGGGAAAGCAAAAGACTCCAAAAGGAAAGAGCAGGATGTGTACACTGCTACTTCCTTCGGGCATGGCCAGTCCTGCTCCGCCTCTTCCTGGACAGCTTTCATTGGTCCGTTCTGTCCTGGCATTTATCACACTACATTGTGATTGGCTGTTTTCTTCTACTATTGAATGGTGAGCTCCTTGAGGGCAGGGGCTTTGTCTAATTTAGATTGAATCATCAGTGGCTAGCACAGCATCCTGAACATATTCACAAAGTGTTTTGTTGGAAGAAGAGTCAACAAAAACAGTGAGTTGCCTCATGTGCTGAGAACCTAAGGTGTATAAAATGAAGGTAAATCTGAAAAATTAAAAGGTTAGAGTCAGACTTGCCAAATTGAGAAGTTTAGATGTCATTTGGTTAGCAATAGGGAGTCGCTGAGTTATTTTGGGGACAGTCGCCCTATTGCCTATTAGTAACCTGAAGAAAAGATGGAATAGAAAGGTAAAACTTTGAAGACAGAGAGGTGAAGTGAAATATTACAGCAGTAGGTATGGCACTGTGGGTTAATGCACCAGACTGCAAAGCCGTTTGAACTGCAAGGTCAGTGGTTCAAGCTCACCAGCTGCTCCTTGGATACCCTATACAGGGTTGCTATGGGTTGGAATTGACTCAACGGCACTTGAAAACAACAACAACAGTCCAGGAAAAGCCTGATAGAACCTGATTGAGAACAGTATTCTGTTTGCTGAGGAGTCCAACTCCTACCATCAAGTTGGTTCCAACTCATAGCAATCCTGTGTAGGGTTTCCGAGGAGCAACTGGTGGGTTCGAACCATCACCTTTCAGTTCAAATTGACCTTATGGTCTAGTGTGTATCCTACAGTGCCACACCAGGACTTAGGTTATGTGCACTAAATACATGTATACACTAAATACATGTGGAGGAGGCAGGCTCATCCCTCGCCCCCTTCTAAGATGTCTACAAGCCTGGGACCTTTTAATGTGCAAAGTTACATGGCAAAGGGGAACTAAGGTTGAGTTAAGTGAGGAGGATGACCAGGATTATCCAGGTGGGCCCGATGTCATCACAGGAGTCTTCCTACATGGCAGAGGGAAGCAGAGAGAAAGAATCAGTAGATGCCGTTGGCAGTAGAGTGAGGGAGGCTCAGCCTGACGTTTCTGGCTTTGAAAATGGCGAGCAGGGTCAGGAACCAAGGTATGTAAGTGACCATCAGAAGCCAGAAAAGGCAAGATTCTCCCTAGGGCCCCTAGAAGGCCTAGGGGAGCCTGCTGACAGCTTTGTTGTAGCCCAGCAAGACCCATTTTGTGATCTACAAAACTATAAGGTAATAAGGTTGTGTACTGCAAAGTCAGTTTGAACCACAAGGTCAGCAGTTCCAGCTCACCAGCTGCTCCTTACAAACCCTATACAGGGTCATTATGGGTCACAACTGACTCAACGGCATTCAACAACAACAAAACAAGCAGTCATAGAAAGTTAGTACAGCATGCTTTACCGAGGTCTCGGCACGTGTTGCTGGCATTCCATCCTGGTAGTAAATCTTATTACAAATGAGCTACAAACTTCATGCTACCAAGTTGACTATTTATTTAAAAAATCTTTCATTATCAACCCTGAACTGCCTGTCCTGGGCTGGAAAGGCATCTCGCTCAAGCCTGAAAACTCGGCATAGGGATTTGCTGCCCCTTTGAGTTTCGTCTCTGCATTCTTTCTTCATTCAGGAAATAGGGATTATTTGCACAGATTCCCTTTACCAACAAGGACTGAATCGGTGATAACTTGTCTCCTTTAAAGATGACACATACATATATAAAAGTATGGTATTAAGCTAATTCTCTTGAGATATTCAAGGAGCTCTGGTAGCATAGTGGTTACAAGTCAGGCTGCTAACCTCATGATCAGCAGTTCAAAATTACCAGTGGTTCTGTGGGAGAAAGATGAGGCTTTCTGCTCCTGTAAAGATTTACAGCCTCAGAAACCCCACACAGGCTCGCTATGAGTCAGATGATTCCCTGGCACACTACCACTGCAACCTTGAGGTATATGAAGGTAATGTCCTGCATACAACATTCCAGGTATACCTTATATATTCATGATCTCAGGTAACTCAGTACAAATCCCATGAGGTAGGCACCCTTGTCTACCGTTTCTACATAAACTTAGACTAACAAAAGGAAGATGAATCCAAGACTCCAACCAGGTCTCTATGACTTGAAACCAAGGCTTCGAAACGGTTTGTTATGGTTCACCCCCTGCTGAGAATTTGCCTTTCAACCCCAGATATACTGCATCAGCATCTCCATTTTAACAAGATCCCCAAGTGATTCTGTATAAACAATCATGTTAAAATGTAGATTCTGATTCAGAATGTCTGGGATACAAAGGCAAACTTTCTGCAGAAGATTAAATCGGAATGAACCAGTCCCAAATTCTGCTACAAATTTATGGGTTTTCCCACTTGATCATGCAGAGCCTCAATTAAGACTACCAGAAACCACTATCCTTCCAGAATATGCAGAAGACATCTATACCAGTACAACAATATTTTAGAAGTATCAGCACAAGACTGGGCCCTATGGTGGTGGTGGATGTATGCCAGGGAGATGGTTCCAACTCACAGCAACCCTGTATAGGGTTTCCCAGGCTGTAAATGTTTATAGAAGCAGAAAGTTTCATCTTCCTCCTGGGGAACAGCTGGTAGATTTGATTTGCTGACCTTGTGGTTTGCAGTCCAAGTCGTTATCAACTATGCTACCAGGGCTCCATGACATTTGGGATATCCCAAATGTCTGAGTTTCCTAAAGCACTATCCTACACCATGATCCCTGAAAACAATCACTACTCTGCCCCTCAGGATTCTCTCTCAGGTCCCAGGGTTCCACAGTTCACTACAACATCTCACAGAACTCGTGTGGCTGTGGAGACTGGCAAGTCCCAAATCTACAAAAATCAGCCTAGAGGATTCTCCTTATTCGTTCAAAATTAAGTTATTGACTCACAAGGCAAACCAGGTCAGGCCGCCAGCTAAAGCCCCAAGAACAGGAGGTCAGACAAAGGAGAGCTTGGCTAGTCAAGAAAGGTAGCACACTGCCCACTCACTTCACCAAGACAGCTCATTTCATCCCCAACAGGATGGCAAAATTGACCAAGCCTCTCATTTCGATTTCCAACTTTTTACAATCACAACTAACACTGTTAACAGTCAATCACAACTGAACAATGTAATCCTATCGGCATCTTTCCCTGATGGTCTTTTCCTGGTGTGATGCTGTGGGCTAATGCATCAGACTGCAAAGTCGTTTAAACTGCAAAGTCGGTGGTTCAAGCTCACCAGCTGCTCCTTGGAAACCCTATACAGGGTTGCTATGGGTCAGAATTGACTCAATGGCTCTTCACAACAATATCAGGAAAAAGTCTTTTGGTGGGAGTTACAAAGACTTGGCTTCTTGTTGTGCCGTTGAGTAGCTAGAAAAGTCATGTTAAACAAATTCATTGCACCTCAACCAGGTAATAAACACTCTCTGCTTTCTGTCTGCAGTGTGCAGCTGTGTTCATGGAGTGTGCAACAGTGGCCTGGGCGGCGATGGCACCTGTGAGTGCTTCTCTGCATACACAGGCTCCAACTGTAGCAAGCGTAAGTACCGCTATTTGCCTTAATGGTCAGATCAAATAAACAAAGATGTATGCATTTCACTTTTGTATACAGGTACTGAGGCTCTACATGGGTGAGGTAGCATAGAAAGCTTTGCTAAAGCATTTCCAAAAGATGAAAGAGAGGAAGAAGAGATAAGAAGAGAAGAGGGGATGGGAGGCAAGGGTGCAAAAACATAGGGTATTCTCCAAATGGGGAGAGCTCCAGGAAGGTGGTTACTAGTCTAGACAGATGTGAGGTTGCCAAACTGTGCACAGCTGGAGCAGAGCATCACAAAGCATCTTCATGCACCCATATCACTGACAACATGCAGCTGCAGCAAGCAAAATCCAAGAAGCCAGACCCCGTTCGCCAGACCCCTCTTCTGCAATGGCTCTTATTCACCCTCTACTGGCAAAGCCTGACAATTCGCTGTGATGAAGGAAAACCACCCACTGCCAAGTCAAATGCATGATTGCAGAGCAGTTACTGGGGGAGTTGATTGGACACAAACATTAAGAAGAGATTGGTCATTCTGTATATGACAGGAACCTATGAGTGCTGCTCTGCAGACACAAGCTTCAACTGTAGCAAGCATAAGTTTGCCTCAATGCCCAGATCAAATAATTTAACCTCTAGATTTTACCTTCCTGGTCTGTAAATTGAAGGAATAAGAGTAAAATTCAATAAATTCAAACTCATTTTATTCAAAGCCTCCCCAAATCAGTGGCCATCAAATTCAATTTTGACTCAGAGACCCCATATGTATCAGGGTACAACTTTGCTCTGTAGGGTTTTTCAATGATTGATTTCCTTAAGTAGATTGCCAGGCGTCTCTTCCAAGGTGCCTCTGGAGGAACTCAAACAGCCAATGTTCCAGTTAGCAGCTAACTGCATTAAAACCTTGTATATCACCAGGGACCCCAGACTGATAATATAATCTATTTAATAATATTTAAATTGATGTATTATTTATTAGTTGATGTAAATTTATTAATTGATGTATCAGATTCCTACTGCTGCTCTAACAAATGGCCACAAACTCAGTGGCTTAAAACAACACAAAATGATTACCTTATAATTCTTGAGATCCAAAACCATACCCAGAAAAGAAGCACAAACTTCCATCCAACATTCCATCCATGTGAACTAGTTATACCATCCCCACCTGGATGCAAATGGGGTAGAAACTAAAATCCTGCAGAGGCAACCACCTCCAACACCATTCCCACTTTATGGAGGGGATGGGGTAAGGATGGGAGCATTCTTTAGGAATTTTTGGTTCAAGTAACCATTTGGAGAGACAGTTCTCTGTGGTTTCTTCATGTTTCCATATATCTAATGTACAAGGAATGAAATGCTCTTTGTTCCAAACTATCTTTTCAAGTATGTTTCAGAGAAACCACAGTGGAAGACAGAAATAGTGTCTCCCTCTGGAACCTCTGTCTGTGCCAATTACTGATGTGTTGTTTTTCAACTCCACATCCACCCTTTTTGCTCTGTAATAACAGAACTGGGTTTTTTACATCTCTCTCCATCACCAGTCAGCAAGATGTGAAGCCTTGTCAGTGGAAGGTGCTGAAAGAATGCTGGAGGAGGAAGTGGTTTTACCTTGCCAATTCCAGTTTGACTCACTCACTGTTCCAGGCTTCTGAAGAACATGTTTTTTTCTCCAGTGTTAACTGTCTGTGGTGCTGTTAGCTAAGCATTGGACTGCTAACCACAAGGTCAGCAGTTCCACTACTTTCTCCATTTCTGTGGAGGCCTGGTGGCACAGTGAATTAAGTGTGGGTTGGTAGTTGCAAGGTTAGTGAGTTTTTTGGATTTTTTTAAGTAGATTGCCAGGCTTCTCCAGAGGTACCTGGAGAAAGACCAAGAAGCAGTTTTTCAAACAGAACAAAGGAACATCAAATGGTTTAAATTAGGAAAGATGTGTGCCAGAGTTGTATTCTTACGCCATACTTATTTAATCTGTGTGCTGAGCAAATAATCCGAGGAGCTGGATTATATGAAGAAAAATGTGACATCAGGATTGGAGGAAGACTCATTAACAACCTACAATATGCAAATGATACAACCTTGCTTGCTGAAAGCTAAGAGGACTTAAAATACTTACTGATGAAGATCAAAGACCACAACCTTCAGTATGGGTTGCACCTCAATGTAAAGAAATCAAACAATGTATTGCATAAGGCAGATCTGCTGCATAAGACCTCTTTAAAGTGATGAAGAGTTTGAAAACTAAGTTGCACCTGACCCAAGCCATGGTATTTTCATTAACCTCATATGCATGCGACAGTTGGTCTGTGAATAAGGAAGACCATAGAAGAACTGATGTATTTAAGTTATGGCATTAGAGGAGAATATTAAAAGTACCTTGGGCTGCCAAAAGAACAAACAGATCTATGCTGGAAGAAATACAGCTCAAGTGCTCCTTGGAAGCCAAGAAGGCCAGACTTCGTCTCTCATACTTCACACACATTATCAGGTGGGGCCAGTTCCTGCAGAAGGACACCATGTTTGGTAAAGTAGAAGGTCAGAGGAAAAGAAGAAGACCCCCAATGAGATGGAGTGCCACAGTGGCAGCAGCAATGGGTTCAGACTTAACAGCGATTGTAAGGTTGATGCATGACCAGGCAGTGTTTTGTTCTGTTGTGCATAAGGTCGCTGTGAGTCGGTACCAATTCGATGGCACCTCACAACAACAAAACAGCTACTCCATGGGAGAAAGATAAGGAAAGCTGTCTGCTCCCATAAGACTCACAGCCTTCGAAACCCTATGGAGCAGAAGTACTCTGTCCTGAAGAGTTGCTCTGAATCAGAATTGACTCAGCAGCAGTGGGTAGGTGGGAGGGTTCTCCATTTATTGACGTAGACACTGGCAGCATAGCCAGGGCCATCAAAAAGCATAGGTCTGGGCCTCGCCTCAGCCCTCCCACACACAAAGAATCCTGTAGGACTGGCCAAGTAGGGAATGGCCATCCAGCCTTCATCCACTCAACTGACCTGGAGCTGTCCAAGTCTAAGCCTTACACAAAAGTATATCAGACTCCTTAGAGGGTGGCCTCTTAAACTCCTGATTCCAACAGTGCCCAGTGATTATCTGCTTCTTTATCTGGTCATTACTGAGTTCCAAGGCCTGCATTTCCCTGTTGATGACCTTTCCCAACACCGTAGAGGGCATATTTTTAACAAATCCTATAAGGAGCTCTGAAGGAGCTCTGGTAGCGTAGTGGTTACGAATCAGGCTGTGAACCGCAAGGTCAGTAGTTCGAAACTACCAGCCGTTCCGCAGGAGAAAGATGAGGCTTTCTGCTCCCGTAAAGATTTACAGCCTCGGAAACCCTGCCCAGGGTCGCTATGAGTCGGAACCGACTCCACGGCACATAACAACAACAACAACAACACATAAGGAGCTCTGGTAGCATAATGGTTACAAGTTGGGCTGTCAACCTCAAGGTCAGCAGTTCAAAATTACCAGCCATTCCGCATGAGAAAAGATGAGGCTTTCTGCTCCCATAAATATTTACAGCCTCAGAACCAACTCCACAGCATACCACCACCATGACCTAAGCTCAGGGTTCCTGCCCTATAATGCAACCAACGCGTCATGTCTTCGGGCATCAACTGTCACTCTTCACATTACTCTGTAGCTTTTGAGGCTTGGAGGAGCTCTGGTAGCATAGTGGTTACGAATTGGGCTGCTAACCTCAGGGTCAGCAGTTCAAAACTACTAGCTGTTCCGCAGAAGGAAGATGAGGCTTTCTGCTCCTGTAAAGATTTACAGCCTCGGAAACCCTGTACAGGGTCACTGTGAGTCGGAACTGACTCTATGACACATAACAACAACAACACTGAGGCTTGGGGAAACTGGTACAAAAAATCTTGATACTCTCATGATACTGCTGTCAGTAATACTGTATACTGCTGCCCTTCATCTCTGATCCAGGAGTTTCATATCTTTCACCAGCATCCATGTAATTTTATCAGCCAACTTGCAATATACGTGCTTGCTGAAAGTGAAGAGGACTTAAATATTTACTAATAAAGATCAAAGAGCACAGCCTTCAAGTATGGATTGCATCTCAATGTAAAGAAAACAAAAATCCTCACCACTGGACCAATAAACAATGTTCTTATCAATGGAGAAAAGACCAAAGTTGTCAAGGACTTCATTCTTCTTGGATCAACCATCAACACTCATGGAAGCAGCAGTCAAGAAATCAAACGACATATTGCATTAGGCAAATTTGTAGCACAAGACCTTTTTAAAGTGTTGAAGAGCAAAGATGTCAGCTTGAAGACTAAGGTGCGCCTGACCCAAGCCATGGTATTTTCAATAACTTCATATGTATGCATAGCTGGACAGTGAATAAGGAAGACCATAGAAGGATTGATGATTTTGAGTTATGGTGTTGGAGGAGAATATTGAAAGTGCCATGGGCTGCCAAAAGAATAAACATCCGTTTTGGAAGAAGTACAGCCAGAGTGCTCCTTGGAGGCCAGGATGGCCAAACTTCATCTCTCGTACTTTAGACATTATTATCAGGAGGGACCAGTCACTGGAGAAGGATATCATGTTTGGTAAGGTGGAGAGTCAGAGAAAAAGAGGAAGACCCCTAGTGAGATGGATTGGCAAAGTGGCAGCATCCATGGGCTCAAACGTGGCAACAATTGTGAGGTTGGCCCAGGACTAGGCAGTGTTTTATTCTGTTGTATATAGGGTTGCTATGAGTTAGTACCAACTCGATGGCACCTAACAAAAACAACACAACTTGTTAACTCTGCAAACAGGGTAAAACCTCAGAATTTTCACCATCCTTGGGAGTCACCTTTGGAACATCTACATTGTAAAACATGATGCAGTTTTCAGAGATTAACTCAAACCCTGTAAGAGTTCCCGAATCCATTACTTAATGAAAAATCAAGTTTCTAAATATTTTAACAAGATGAGGATATTGATTGTTGATGTTGATTATTGTAGGAGCAGGGATTAGAGAGTGAGAATAAGAAAATCAATTTTACTTTATATGTTCTGTATGTTTAAATCCTTACATTAAATCTGTATACTTTGTAATAAAAGGGAAAACTTTTATTAGCTATATGTATTCAACTAATATAGTTACCTTAACAATGTTTCTTTGCAGCCATTCCTGAATGTGCAGCCTTGGTCTGTCCAGAAAATTCCCGATGCTCACCTTCCAGTAGAAATGAAACCAAGCTAGAATGCAAATGCCTTCCCAATTACAAAGCCCATGGCAAAGACTGCAAGCGTGAGTGGAGCTTAGATTCTGCTCGTCTTTATTATTAGCAATATGTTTAGATGGCTTTACAGGGAAAATAAAACCTCACACTCTTTCTAATAGTAACACAATAACCACTTCTAATTCTCTGTATGAAACTGAAGGAGCCCTGGGAGCATAGTGGGTTACAAAATGGACTTGTCAGCAGTTCGAATCCACCAGTCAGGAGAAAGGTGAAGTTTTCTGCTCCTGTAAACTCTAAACAGGAAGCTCTAGACAGGGTAGCTATGATTTGGAATTGACCACCTCCATGTGTAAATGGGGTGACATACACTTACACATTCTAAGCAAAATGTTCATCCCATGATTGTTGTTGTTAAGTGTCATCAAGTTGGTTCTGACCCATAGCAACCCTATGTAGGGTTTCCTAGGAGCAGCTGGTGAGCTTGAACCGCTAACATTGCGGTTCGAACGACTTTGCTGCCCAGCTCATTAACCCACAGCTCCATGGTAACTATTCAAGAAACAGCAATTTCTCCTTCTATAATGAAAGCACATGCATAGATTTTTGCACACTTTTGTATCACCTTGGACTGCTAACCACAAGATTGGCAGTTCACGCCTACCAGCTTCTCGATAGGAGAAAGATGAAGTTGTCTGCTCCGGTAAAGATTGACAGTCTCGGAAGTCATATATAGGGTCAGTATGAGTAGGAACTGATGCAATGGCAGTGAATGCATGAGTATTAGCATAAAATATACTGCTCTTCTCCCTACCTTTTTTTTTTTTCTTTTCTTTTCATGTTGATTCACTTTATGAGAAGATTCTTTGGGTATTGGTTAAGAATATGAACTATAGCCAGGCTACTTAGATTAAAATCCAAGGCCAAATTCTTCAACCCACCTATACTTTTCCAATTTATCAAACAGGGATAGTAATTATAATGACCTGAGAGGATTGTTGTAAGGATTAAATGCTCCTTCCGAGGAGCAGCTGGTGAGCTTGAACCACCAACCTTGCGGTTCAAACCAACTTTGCAGTACAGTGCAGTAACCCACGGCGCTACACCAAGGAGGTGGGAATGGTAAAGTGGGGTGAAAAAAATTGTTTTTACTCTCTCTCTTAACATTGTTGTGTTTTATTTGCAGCTTTGATGAGCTGTATTCAGCTTTTTTTCTCTATCTCTGAGAGTAGTAACTGTCTCTTGTTTTGTCTTTGCCTCTCAAGCCATCAATCCATGTTTACAAAACATCTGCCACCCTCATGCTCACTGTACATACCTGGGACCAAATCAGCACCTTTGTACATGTGAAGATGGTTACCGTGGGGATGGCCAAGTGTGCGTACCGGTAGACCCCTGCCAGGTGAACTTTGGAAACTGCCCTACAAAGTCGACAGTGTGCAAATACGACGGGCCTGGACAGGTGAGCAACTGCAGGCAACTGAACAGCCCTTGAAAGAAACATTGTGTCCCGAGTGTAACTGTCCTCCCATTGCTTACTTTTAATGCTCCATTTTGGCTTCCTCTTGAGATACTCATGGCCCCCGTGGGTTCAGGGGACCCCCAGACCTCAGTGTGCCTGTGTCCCAGTCCCATCTCTGGACTCACCCTTTCCCAGATTCTCAGTGGAAACCTAACTAACCTATGTTCTCTTCCATCGCAGTCCTATAAAGTGACTGACAAAATATACAAACAATCCACAAGGAGTTGGCAAAGTAGCTGTTAACTGTGTTGTGGCTTAGTATGGGATTAACGTCCACCTGCAGTCCTCCATTCTCTGTGATTTTTTCTCAAGTCAAAGGGCAATTCTTAGAACCAAAAATGGATGGAAACTGAGAAAATATCAGGCAGCACTGACAACTGACAGGTCATGGGGAGTGGTGAAGATATTCTGGGATGAGACACTGCCCCTCCAAACCACATCATGATCCAGATTGTTCACCTTGACTTACGGCTACACATGGGTAAAAGTCAGCCTGGCTTGGAGACCAGTTAGAAGGGCCCTTTCCCTAATACCTCAAGCACCCATCACATATTTAGTGGGTGCTCACCATGTCCATAAGTGCACATCGAGTGTAGAGTGAAAGAGGTCTACTCTGCTGAAGGCTGTTACTGTATTTGTAGGAGGACTGTCTTTAGTGCCTAACCTAAACACAGCCCTTTGTTCCTAGCAGCCTGTTCAGTGAATCTTACTGGTGGAGCCCCTGCCGAGAATCAGTCCAATCTCACTTCCAAGGAAAAGAGTACATAGCATGCAGCATTCCCATGATTAATCCCTGAGACAGATTTGCAGAGAAATTTCAGAGGCTGAATTTCCAGCCTCAAAACCTTCAAGATGAGGATCCCTCCCTATGGGAAAGGCTGTGTTCTATCCCAAGCACCAAGACGTTGGGAGTGAGATGAAAAGAGCTTGTGTCTCTTTAAAAATGGTCCCAAGGGCAGATTCTCAAGGCCTAGAAAGGCTCCATGGTTCACACTGAAGCAATTCACTGAGTAAGTGTCTCAGCCTCAACACTCCTGACATCTTGGGTGGGATGACTGTCATTTTGGGGGAGAACTGTCTTGCAAATCACTGGATGCTTAGTACATCTAGAGCACAATGCCAGTTTAGGTGAGACAATCAAAAATGTCATCAGACATTGAACGTCACTGTTCTGGATCAATAATACCTCCATCTGAACCTCAATCTCCACTCACCTATAGATAATCTAAAACCAAGCATTATGAAGCCAGGGAGGTCAAAGGTTAGAAAACTGAAAAGTTAACGTTTAGAAATGCAGTATTTGAGCTTGAGCTTCCTAAGAAATGAGATATGTCTATATGATTTTCACTTCTGGGTGTTGTTGTTATTGTTGTTATTGTGTTAGTACCATCGAGTC